TAGGATGAGAAAGCTTACGGGTCTTAGGGAGATTGTTTAACAATTACCACTGCAGGCAAAACAAGACTCCACTTGGGGACACTTAATGTAACTTACTGTCAATTAGAATAGACTCAGATAGGAGAAACCGAGACAAACATGGAGGGGGGGGGAAAAAAGGCCTTTCCTCCCTTTTCTCCCAAGTCAAACTTTATTCCTCCACTCCAGACTCCTCCACCTCCCACCCCAAGCAGCACAGGGGGCAGAGGACAGGGGCAGCTATGGTCAGGCCATAGCAGCTTCTCTCTGCAGCTCCTATGCCATTCTCGTATTTTCCCTGCTCTGGCATGGTCTCTTCTCCCATGGGCTGCAGTCCTTCAGAAAGAATAAAAAGAAAAACATTGCTTCGGCATGGGCTCTCCACAGACTGCAGTTCCTTCAGGAACTCCCCAGCTGCTCCAGTGTGGGGTCCTCACAACCCCATGAAGATCTCCTCTAGTGTCATGGAGCTGCTCCCTGACCTTGGCGTTGGCTCTGCTGCTTCTCACTCCTTTTGGTTCCCTCCTCCTCTTTTTGTTGGGTTTTTTGCCCTTTCTTAAATACATTTTCCCCGAGGCGCCACCACCGTGGCTGTGGGGCTCAGCCATGCTCTGGGGAGGGGTGGGTTGGAGCCGGCTGGGACCCCGGGGGGCAGCCCCGGCCTCTCCTCACAGAGGCCGCCCTGCAGCCCCCCCTGCTAGCGCCTGGGCACCGGCACCCGGTACACAGGTTTAGTCAAGACTACTAGTGTTATTTTAACAATAAAGAGAGCATTTTATGTGCTCAACCTAAAACCTTAATCTCTATATAAAGGATTTTCTTATCAATCACACAGGAAGAGTAGTTGTATCAGACACTAAGTACTAAATGGTACTGCGAGAAAAGTAGTTCAAAAAAACCCTAAATGCATCTTCAGAAATTACGTCATTTCTGGGGTTCAGAGCTTACAGGGAAGCTCACACCGAACACCGCAACACTTCCAGCCGGTGGGAGCCGCCGTCCACCCCGACGCCCACCCACTGCAGTTAGCCACACAGGGCGGGAACTGTGGAGGCAAACTGCTGTCCAATGCAAACTCCCGTTCAAACAAGTCAGACAACCGCTAACGTAGTATTAAGTCATTTTCTCAATTATTTGAGGACGCTGCTGATAAAGGCAAGTCCTAGCCGATGATTCAGCAGCCTTTTCTCTCCTTTCCCCCCTTTTGTCCCATTTCAGATTTCTCTGGAGCAATCCTCCTCTGTGCAGTACTGAGTACAACACAGCCGAACCGCGACACTAAGCCGAATCTTCTGATTTCAAGAAATCAAAAATTACAACCACCATCCTCAAAAAAGGAGACCAAATACTGCCAGTAATTTCACAACCTGAGTTCACTACATGGCTATAACTGAAATTACCAAAATGAGGCACAGCATTACTGCAGAAATGTTTGCATATTAGCGTAAACACAGTGAAACCCTCATGAATAAAATAATGCAATTTGACTTAATCGAAATTTACTTTAAGTTATATAACAATAGTAGAGCTAGTACTACAACTTAAATGAACTACAGAAAATATTTAGGCTTTCTACAGTTTAATCATCATTAATGGTACAAAGGAAATTATTTACTCTCGAATGTGTCAGGCAATATGGAAAGAAGGTCCTTGCAGTATTGATTTTGCATATAAAATGGACTTCTTCAGCTGCACTTGCAATGGTCAGGAAGGCTTGAATAGTATTAACTCCCCCTATTATTGAGCCTCAAGGAACAGCCACGTAAGTCAAGATGTCAAACTTATTTTTAAAGGATGAAATAAAACATATGACTGCTTCCTGGGCTTGACTGGTAAGCGATTAAAGCATTAACTCTGAGTAAACTGAATTTGAGCCAGTGTCAACATAAAACTTCTAAAAAAAAAAGTCACTACTATGAATTATTTACCTTTCTCTCAAAGCTCAGTATCAACGCATCAATTCACTCTCATTATCTTCCTCCTTTATAACCCCATCTAGAATCACCCTTGTAAGACACAGGATGGTGGTGACACAAGCCTGCAATGCAGTGAGCAACATAACAAGGCTAGGTGACCACCCAAATGATTCGATGCTTTGGAGACCTAGGAAGGGTAGCTTTGGCACAAGCACACTCCCATGAAGTGTTACAGCTTCAGAGCACCTTGGAAAAGACACAGGGCAGGCCTTCACCATTCCTGCGTAGGGACAACTCCTTCCGAAAACCTGTGTGCGCCACTGCTTGGAGTCGCACCAAACAACCTCTGAGAGGATGCAAAACATGCGTCGCAGTACTAATAATCAATAACACCACACAAACAACCCGCATTGGAAAACTATGCTGCTTTAACATTAAAGAATTGAACCACTAATGACAGCCATAAAAAAAGACTCTTCAAAACCACATGCCTGAAATACTGTCTTTCCACTATCTATATTCAGGGTATTTTGTCCCTTAGAAGCTTGTAACAGATTGTCAAAGCCAGAAGTTATCGGCCAAAGTCAAACCACCCCACAGAAGATACAAGTGTTTAGTCTAATTTTGTGACCCTGTGAAGATAAAAAGCCTTGCTTTAGAAAAAGCATTCGAGACTAATTTGGATTTTCACGCCACTAAGATCTTTATTTTCAAATTCTAATAGAACAAGGATCACCCATTAGAAAGTGCTGAGAAAAAAACATAAATAGCCAGATGCTGCAAAACCAGTAAAAGATACCCCCAAAAGCACATGTAAGTAATACTTACCAAAGTAGTAATGTTATCAAAATACATTAATTAAGACACAAATTAAGTAACAAATTGGTGATGCTGTTTAAGGCTCTAGTACTTCTTGGTTAAGTTTGGCCATGATGCACAACTTCTGTGCAAAGTCATGAAGACCTCTATACTATTACAGTGCCTGAAATCCAGCCCATTTCTCGATTGATTTCTCCTTTGCAGCAGACACATGCAAATGCATTGTGCTACAAAAGCATTACCAAGCACTACTAAGCCCGCTGTACTTGCAGAACTTAGGCCTAGATCAAATAGTATTTCAACAACTAATTTTCACAGACGATACTGGAAGCATGCTACTGTGGTCATAACTTCTATTGAAATGTGCCTCTTCACTCCAGGTAAGGCTGAGGAAAATCACTAAAGATTATCCTCCCAATTTGTATGCTGTGGAACAGCAATCGTTACCATCTTTAGATTTTAAAAAGATATCTTATGTACAACCCTTTCTTTAAAAGCATATTCTTGTAGTTTCACTGAAATGTAATTGATGATGATAGTCTTGTTCCAGTGAAAACTACACTAATCATCCAGCTACCAAGTGTCACACTCCAGTTATGCCTCTGTTTGGTGTTACAGAATAACGTTAGACTGACCTCTGTAAAACATGCTGGATTTTTGGCCCTCATTTCCAAAAGACTCAATTTAGTAATATTCCTAGCATCCCTCAGCAGTGCACTCTGCAGGCTATAATTAGCTGAAACAGCTCATTAAATGCAGTTTTGCAAACTGAATTAGTAATCAGAATCCCACAATTTCCATCAGGGGCTTTGGAATATGACAGAAATCACTGATCTTTTACTCCTTACTCTGAAAATATGGTGAACTTTAATAAACAAAACGTATGTATTAAAATTAAAAACTAATGCAAACCTGAAATACTGCAATAACTTAAAACATAGCAGTTCTATAGAAGACAGTTTTCCAAGCTCATGAGCATGTTAAAATTTTTAAACCATGATTACAGAGGATAACATAAAGAAGCGCTTTACTATAAAGCAGCTATTGGCTTTAACAAAGCAACCCAAGTTAAGTGAATTATATATAAGATAGTGTGTGTTCATAAGAAAAAGTTGCAGATTTTTCCTCAAACTGAAAAGTCAGGTAGCCTACTCATTCCAGTTCCTACTGTTTTTCAGACTTCTCCTCAGCTACTCACAAAACAGGCAAATTCCAGAAGTCCATGAAGCTTCTTACAAGTATTTTAAGCAGATGCAGACAACCTGTGTACTTAGCAACCTTTCCATAGAACACATTCATTGTTTTTAAATCCCACATAAGCATTATCAGCTTTCAGCAAGAACATTATGTATCAACTGAACTAAGGATGTCTCTAGGTGCAGTTGTATTAGAGTTCTAATGGAAATGTTCATGTAAGAGCATCACACAATGCACATCAAATAATTCCACAGACTCCAGTAATATTCAAAATTAAGGAATGCATTTTTACTTCACACTGTTTCTTTACTAAACACTCATGGTCAACTTTGATATTAATGTGACACAGCAAGATAAGGCTTTGAAAGCCTTTTTAAAAAGCAATCCAAACTGCCTTCATGTTATGCAATGTCATGTTTTCTAGGACTAAAATTATGTGCGTTATACACGGTCACCAACTTTTAAACCCTGTGAAGAGTCTAGTATCATAAAACTAGCAATTCCTAAATTGAACACCGAATTACTAACAGAAGAACATTCACACAGTGTATTTACTATAGGTGTCCTACCTAGATGTGATATCTCAAACATTTATGCAATGAAGACTTTTTTTTTTGCCTGACATGTTCTGACTTTTCCTCATTTCAGGTCTCACTAACAGAAGAAAAAAACCCACAAATCACTATTTTACTTTTTTCAACAAAAAAACTGTTGCAAAACATTGTGGGGAAAAAAGATCAATATGAAGAGAAAAAACAGTTGTCTGTATGAAAATCCATGTTACTCTCTATGTAGGAAACAATTTTAAAATCCTCTAGCAGAAATTTCTTTACAGTGCTCGTCACATGCTAAATTCCATTTAAAATTAATGAACTCTCAGCTCATAATGAGTTCATCATGAGTTAATTTAGTGCTGGCAGCACTTTTGATAGGGTTTCTGGTATCTTCCAGGCAGAAGCAGGTAACTTTAAAAATCCAATAGACTACTGTCCAAGACCGTCATTAAACAATGCAACAAAAGTTGTAAAAATCAGACTTTATCAGACTTACCGCCAGCGCTTTAGATAACTTTGTTCTGTAGTTATTCAAAACAATTGCATCAATCTCCTTAAGTGGCACGTATGCAAAGCCTTCTTTAATAAAAACTCTTCTGGCTCTAAATAGATCCACAGCATCTGCAAGTCCAACCTGAGAAAGATGAAAAACCCACACCATGGAACAGCAAAATAATGCAGTAACAATGTTTACAACCCTAAGATTCAAGATGGACCAGTAAAGCTTTAAGTCATTCTGTCTTTTAATGAAGCTCTACCCAGGAAAACACAAACATTTTGAAATCAAATGTTGACTTTGGAACAGCTGATCATTATTTTGGTGGAAAAACATTGTTTACTTACAGAAAGTCATGCAACTAGGCAAAATAAGCTACTTTACAGTTTGTATCTACGATTATAAACCCAATTATGCAGCTTTGCATCACTTACATTACTTACAAATCACTTACTGATTTGATATTGGAAAATGGACTTCTGTTGACCTTCTGTTTCAGGCATCTTGAAATATTTGATTCATGTAAGCTACATATAAAAGGTCTTGGAAACGGATCTGGAACCCAACCAACTTTCCTCCGAAGACGAGTCAGTGGGCTACATTAGACACGTCTTTCCTCTCCCCTTGCTCTCTTGCAGAAAGACTTTCAGGCTAATACAATCAGACTGAGAATGTCTCCATCCTACAGTCTGTCAGCCAGGCAAGTTAAGTCATTTGTCTAGGAAACCTTAAAACTTAAGACCAATTTTGTAGCGAAACTGAAAGGATGGCAGAAGAGGACAGAAAACATTAACAGTGGTTTAAAGCTCCCTTCATTCTCCCAGTCCCTCCCTCTACCCTTATACTGACATGAAGAAGAGGAACTCTTATTAGTCTCAGTTAATTCAGATACTTTCACAGAATCATAGAATGTTTTGGGTTGGAAGGGACCCCTAGAGGCCATCTAGTCCAACCCCCCTGCAGTGAGCAGGGACACCGCTAACTAGATCAGGTTGCTCAGAGCCCCATCCAACATGGCCTTGAATGTTTCCAGGGATGGGGCCTCCACTACCTCTCTGGGCAACCTGTCCCAGTGTTTTACCACCCTCATTGTAAAGAATTTCTTCCTTGTATCTAGTCTGATAGATTAAGTGTTAACAGTAGTATTATGTAAACTTAAAATTAGTAACTCCCAGTTTAACTGAAAGAGAATGAATGCAAATCTGTGGAATTTACCAACTTCTACTTACCTTATAGAACATTTGTTCTCTTACTTTAGTCACACCGAGGCTAGGGGTTGATGCTTGCAGCTCATTTGCCAATTCATTTTTCAGGTCTTCACTAATCTAAAATTAAGAGCTTGTTTTAAAACTGCTGAAATGCTTTAGAGTAAGGCTTTTTTTTAATTAACATGAGCTAAAAGATTACTTAACCTGTAAATGTGTCATCACTTCAGCTGACAAGGGAAAAAAGGATTACATATTCAGCAAGTGATCTAATAATTAAGAATTATTATTTCATTAATTAAGAACTAATAATTAATTAAGCAGAAACCAGGAAAACACTAGTGGTCAATAGTGTTAAATAACCTTATTTCTGAAGCAGTGGTGAAGATTTTAAAATATAATAATTTTAAACATTAACACAAGAACTATAAAACACACTTTTTAAAAAGTCAACCTCTCCAAAACAAAACTTGTGACAATCCCTGCTCATATCTAGATTTACTGTATGCATTAAAACAAAACATAATGACTCAGTGGCAATTAGTAAGGACTCAAACAATTTCGTCAGATTTTTAATCCGTTTCAGCTCATTTTAAAATCCAGACTCTTAAAATAAAATTACATAGCATCTTACATTCATGGACTTCTCTCTCTCCTTTTTTTTTTTTTTTTTTTTTTTGAGGAGCGAGAACAATGGTATACTTATTGTTCTCTAAATGTTAGTGCTTTTCCAGTTCTCCAAACAGGTAAGTTAAGCAGCAATGCTCTAATTTAACAACTTAAAGTATTTAAGCCAAAATTTCTAGCTTGAAAAATCATGGACAATGTTACACTTCCTAATATAAAACTTAATACTGCATATACATAAATATATATATTATGCTTTTCTTGACTACTTAATAATGCACCAAATACAGCAGAAAAGCCACACTTAAAATTAGCATGTTGTAATGTTTTTACTTGTCAATAAATCATTTTTGAGTTTTATTCAACAGAAAACAATTAACAACAACATTTGAAATCAAGTTGTTCTGCTTTAAATCATGATTAAGCTCAGGCTTTAAAACCTGAAAAAAGTAATAAGTAAAAAAAATGTAAGTCGTAAATAATCCACTCTGATAAAACAGATTATACAAGCTGGTAATCCAGCAATGATACCCAGTAACTTAACTACATGCAACAACAGTCTTAAATATCTGCACAATATGTTCTTGGTAAGTATAGTGGGAGTAGTCTCTGACTGATTAAATATCAAGGAACACAGAATACCTTCCCAAAACATAGAGGGACACAGATGTGAAAGTATAACACATTGCGTGACACTGATCTACAAATGCAAGATAAAAAAGGCGCTCAGTGTCCTTCCTCTCCATGGAAAGGGATGTGCGTAAAGCACTTCGGTTTCTTCTCCAAATGGGGCAGAATACCTTACTCCTTGACTAGCACTCCTATGCAGTTGAATGGGCATTTAGACAATTCTTTTTTTCCTTCTTCTCAGTTGGAAAACTTGAGAAAACAAAGCAAAACAAAGCACTTTTCTTGGAATTCATAGACTCATAGAATACCAGGTTGGAAGGGACCTCAAGGATCATCTGGTCCAACCTTTCTAGGCAAAAGCACGGTCTAGACAAGATGGCCCAGCACCCTGTCCAGCTGAATCTTAAAAGTGAGTATTGGGGAAAGCCATAGGAAGGACCCTTTAAGTTCAAACTTGGAGAAGTAGCTCAGCAAATCTCCTCTATAAAGTGATTTGATAGATAAATGAAATGACCAAGGCAGTGATACCTAGAAGGCTTACAGTTACCCTGCCCACATCTTGATGTTATCTGTTGTGCTCCCTCAGGAAAATCAGCTTTAAAAAAATAATAATAAAGCTGCCAGCAAGGCAGAAGAATGTAACTTTGAAGACAGAGGAAATACACAGCAGCATTATATTTCTGCATGTGAAAATCTAATGCTCCAGGGAAAAACAGCCTGCAAGGAAACCATTTTTCTTTAACAAAGTAGATGTACCAAAACAATTAAATGTGTTTGTGTAAATGATATGAGAAAACCCTTTCTATAACATATTCTCACTGACAATCTTATTTTTGTTAGTCTTTGGAAGATTCCCGCTTTTCAGACGTGACACCCTGGAACTGTATATAAACTTCACACAGTGCTGCCAAAACCCTGCTACTCGTTCCAGACGATATATTTCTTGTTTAAAGAAGTATAAATCTAAGTCACCACATCAGCCTGCAAGCTCAGCTTTCACCTAGTACAGACCAAAGTGTTTATTTTAATTCCAGAATAGTGACTTCCATTTTTCAAATGTAACAGTTTTATGCCTTCTCAGTAGGAATTGCTTAAGAGAGCCCAGCCTACCATGGCATTCCAAACCCTCTGTGAAACTGTCTTTGAATAAAAACAGTACAACATATTGTATAGCTATAGTGGTTACAATTGCATTATTTCTTCTAGGATATCTCACTAAAAAAAGGTCAAACCAAGCCAAGGACAGTTTTTTTTTTTTTACAGAAAGCCATTAAAACAGTCCAATGGCTGTTTTACAAACAGACTTGCAATATTGGGGGAAGAACAAAAAGAGGGAAAGGCAAGGATTCCTTGCTTATTTATTTTTCAAAAAACAATTAGCTCATTTTCATCAACAAAACCATTTCATTCAGTATTACGTTTAATTTCAAGGGGGGGTTCATCTTTTAATATACACATAAAATAATTATACTGACTGACTCCAAACTTCACAAGCTGTCTAGATCCTTCCTTATTAATAATTTGACCATATCGGTCTTGTACAGATGTAAAGTCACAGCCATTTTAGATTTTCCTGCTTCTCACTAGCAAAAAATTTAACACTGCTGGGGTAAAAGCGATCCTGGTGAAACCTCCAGAAAAATAGGTTAATGGGCCACAACTGAAGATTTGGATAAGACTGAACAGTGTTACTGAAAATACAGTTTCATCAGAAATTGTATTTTTTAAACAAACCCAAATATTATTGCAAAACAATATTTATCATATAAGTAATACTTACAAAGCTATTAAATAATTTCCTTCATACAGCCTCAAGTATCTTATAGGTTAGGCAAACCTCCAGCAGCCCTACAAACTCTTTGCTCCTTGCCTTTTCACCAAATTCCCATTGCCTTCATGTGTTCAGCTAATGGAGAGGAAGAAGAAACAAGGATATCCCTAGTCCCTAACTAAAGCTGCAAGATGACTCCAGATGCATTTAAAAATAAAACTTGCTTCCCTAAAGACTAGAACATTAAAAATAACCTTGCATTGGCATTAAGATTTTCACCATTTTCACATAAAATTGTGTAAAATTGACTGAAGATGCAATGCAATGAAAATAAGCTCCTTACAGTCAACTCAGACTCAAGCTTTTAGTTATATCACACCTGTACCTCTGAATGCAGTACATCATGAAACACGTACACCAATTTTTCTTGGTTCATGGATGCTGGAAAAGCCTTTTTTTTTTTTTGCCTTTTTTTTTTTTTTTTTTAGTTTTAATAGTAACACTACAGTTTGTACATTCAATAATTTCATCTCTAAAATGGCACCCACAAGAACACATTCCGGTAATCACTAAAAATTAGACACAATTAAATACAGCTTTTAGGATTCTAATCAAGATTGGAAAGATAAACAGACTGTTTAACTTTTTCGCACTCAGTGATGTTCACCAGATAAAATGCTGTCATGTTCAAAAGATTAAAAAAAAAAATGCAACAACTTAACACTTCATTGTAAGTTTCTGAGACTTAGGAAAATTAGAAAAATCAAGACATGAAAGGGAAGGCACTAGGGGAAAGGAAGAAAGCAAGGGTTTGGGACAAGTTGCATTATTTCTAGTTTTCTTGCTTTCTACATGCGGTTTATTCATCAATTTTAATCACAGAATTGTCCTGGAAACACAAAGACACATAAATTTAAATTAAAATATGAATAATTTAATATGTAAGGCTTGGTTAAACAAACACTGGCAGTGAGGCAGTCCAAATACTTCAAAATAAATTTGATATCCCCACTCTGTTTTAATGAAGAGATAAAGATGCATGCACACATTATAATCCGACATATGCACAACTACTCAATTTTGCTGTTCCTTACTGGGAGACTTAGAAACAAGAACTCAATGCCCGAGTCCTTTCCCATTTCAAGACTCAGCTTCACGTATTTACGTGCACATGCCACTGGTGTTCTTAGAAAGTGAACTAATTAAAACTTGCTTTCAGTCACTGAGCAGCTGGTACTCAGATGGCACAACACCCTTCTCAAGAAGAGATGGTATCAGTCTCTCAATGCCACACTATATTGCGATTTTAAGTATCAAACAGACAAAACAATAATTTCCTAGTCAATCTTCTCCACTGCCACACAGCACACTACAAACTTGGCTAGAACTAAAAGACAGAAGTATTAACCTAGATACCATTGAATTTAAGAATATAAATTTAAAGTGCATTCAACTGGTTAATGAATACTAGCTTGATTAGGAAAGGACATCATTCCCAGCTGTCCTACCAATTAAGAGCATGAAGATCCTTAAATAAAACCTTCAAGGCTCATCAATCTGTTGTTCACAAATCTGATTACAATGTTTCTCAAGATATATCAATTCCATTTTGGCTAGGCACAAATGAATTAAGAAGAAATTCATATTTCCCATGGTACTACAACTTAACTATTTTAGCTCAAATTCAGATTGCTGGCATTCCTAAAAAATATAAAGGGCTGTGCTTGGATTTATTATGTATTCTTATCCATCAACTGAAATGTTGTTTGAGTTTTTTTTTTTTTCCCCCCCAAGTCAGGAGTGGGCACAGAAAGTACTTTTTTGGATCTTCCTCAACCACGCTACTAATTCATGGTTTCCATAATCACAGAGAAACTCAGTGACACAGGAGATTTCCTACATGCCTGACAAACGTTCCCCTACATCCATGAAAAGGAAAGCTGAACAAAACAATTGCTAGAGATTACTCTAGAAACACCACCACATACATATTAGAGTTGCACACGACTCAAGAGCTAACAGAAGATCCTCATGAGAAACATGGCAACAAGTTTTCTTCCATTTACCAATCAGGATGCTAACGACAGGCTCA